TCGTTTGACCGGGGACCAACAAAGCCCGCCAGGTTCAGAACCATGGGAAACATATCGAGCGCAATTTTTCCCAGTCGCCCGAAGTCTCGCTTCTCCAGCTTCCCCATCGTCATCGCATCCCTGTCTTACCTCCTCCCTCTCTGATCCTATCTTGCCTCCCTGTCTAACCCTCCTCGTCCCACCCTATATCCCAGTCCTCCCGCCTCCAGTCGTTCCGCTCCTGAGTCCAGTATTCTGGGACAGAGGAGGAAAGGGGGGAGGAGCAGGAGGAGGAGGAGGAGGAGGAGGAGGAGCCAGGAGGAGGAGGAGGAGGAGGAGGAGGAGGAGGAGGAGGAGGAGGATCAGGATGAGGAGGAGAGGGATAACCAGGATCAGGAATTGGGAAAGCAGATGAAACTGCCAAGACCTTGGCCAGATAATTCAGAGTTTCGTATGGTGACAGAAGCCGTGTGGAGATGTCCACTGGAGTAGGTTTTGTTGTCAGGAAGCATATGGCCAGAGTTTTGAGCAATGCCATCGAGACAGTTCCGAGGCAGCAACCCAGTGGAAGAAAGCTGGCCAAGAGGAGGGAGAGAGAGGACCAGTGTGTGAAGGTCACGGCGCACAACGGCGTCCACCTATGCGGGTCATGGGGGTGCGTTGCTCGGAGTGTGGATGATCGCCGCCCAGGAGAGAGTTCGAACGTTTCCTCTACACTGCGTTCACGAGAGGACTGATGAAGAATATCCTCCTCTCCCCCTCTGGACCTCAAGTTTTTCATGGAAGAGAGTTGCACTGCACGCGTGCGCTCGGAGTTCACTAGATTTTCGGAACCATGATTTGTATTCGCTGCGGGTTCTACGCACAGAAAGGAGCGAGGAACCTACAGCATTCCTGCCTAGGCCGCCCTACAGAACACGGGAGGTTGGCCCTGAGCAGGCTTCAGAAAGGTGAAGTACCAGCTGCCAGGTCTATGGATACCGACAGAAGCACAGAGCAGCTAAAATAAACAGTTGTTCAACCAAAGGTTGGAAACATGAAATAAACCAGTTATGGGCACCGACGGGCCGTTTTTGGAGCCTCTGAGGCCGCGTTGGGGCGCTCTTGGGAGCGTCTTGGGAGGTGCGCCGGAAGCTTGCAATGTCGAGAACCCCGAGAAACATTGGAAAACCAACTGTGAGTCACTGATGTTGCCCTCTCGGGGCTCTTTGAAGGCGTCTCGAAGGCTTTTTGGGGGCCATCTTGAGCCACTTGGGGCGAAATGCATGAATTGGTATAGCGAATCGGAGCGTCCTTGAACCGTCTGGCCTGAAAAAGTCATGTGCCAGCACAAGCCGGGGGAGCCGCGCCAAGTCCTAGGATATTTGAGAGTACAAGGGTCTGGATCCTAGAGAGACTCTTGCGGAGTGAGGACCGATGGTCAGGGGATCGAGCAAGGGTCCTGAGCACACTCCAACTCGCCCCCGAGGACACAATGCCGGATAATTGCTCGTGCTGCAGTCAAAACGCATCATGATGATTGATGATGAAGGGTGAGAGCTCAAGTTGCCAATGGCACACTTTCATCATTGCCCCATGTTTCTTTTCATAACGAAGCATTGTCCATTTAATTTGTGTCAGAGGTGGCGTGTCAGGGCCTTGCATCATGAACGAGCATCCGTTTGACCGCGCATTCGTCTAATTTTGCGGCTCTGCATTCGTTTTTTTTGTCCGCAGTGGCCGACGACGGTTCAATAATTCTTTCGGCCCGATCGAATGTCGCAAAGGCCAGTGCGGGAAGATGGCTCGTAGATGTTGCAAAGGTCTTTTGGTTTGTTTAACAGATTTTCGCGGTGGGAAGTTGTGTGTGTATATTTGGAAATATTGTTTGAATATAGTTTGAATGTTTCTCCGACTGGTGTATTCAGATTACTTGTGGGAGAATACTTGTTGGATATTACGTGTTCCATTTTTGTTGGCCGATGTTTTCCTGGCGGGGAGATCGTTTGACATGTTGTGCAGATTGCTTGAAGGTTTCCGGGGCGGTGTTATTTCTTCAATCTGTTTTTCAGATTTTGTTTGGATGCTTGCGGCGGGGGGACTTGTTTTGCAGAGTTGTTCAATATACCTGGGGATATGGGGAAATGAAATAGTCTGAACCTTTTTTTTGATTTTCGTTGGTGGAGGCTGTCGGAGTTTTCTTTGTGCATATATATATATACACAAACAGGATGTGTTGATGATATTGGGGGCGGTACGTTTCCTTGAACATCTTTTCGAGCTTTTAACGGACGTTGTATTTGAGTGGCCTCTGGCCAGTGCCCCGATCTGAGGCGTTCGTGCCCTTGGGGGCGGTGCCCGGAGGGGGTCCCTGGGGGGGGCCGCCTGGAGGGGGTCACGGGGGTCCTTAAGGGTCTCTCCCCCGCAGATCCGGGATGGGCAAATCAGTAACAAAATGGGTCCCCTGAGGGTGGGGAGGACTTTGGTGCACGGCCTCCCCCCATCCCCGGCAGGGCCACTCGAGAGTTGAGTTGAAACTCCGGCTCTTTTAAACTCACGCGCCGGACTTTCAGATTTCCCGAGTTGCATGTTCCCCAATCAGAGCTTGCCTCTGTAGGGGTCCTAGCAGATTCATATGGTTAGGTTTGGTTTGTCGCCGATTTTCGCTGCACGCCCGGGTGCCCGGTTGCCCGGGGGTGCCCGGGGCCAGGGTGCCCGGGGGGTGCCCGGGGGTGCCCGGGTGCCCGGGTGCCCGGGTACCCGGGCGTGCCTGGGGGTAGCTGGGGGTGCCCTATAGCCCTAAGCCCTATAGCCCAATAGCCCAATAGCCCTATAGCCCTACAACTATATAGCCCTGTAGCTCCATAGCCCTATAGCTCAATAGCCCTATAGCCCCCTAGCCCTATAGCCCTGATTGGGGTTTTTCTCTGGTATCATTTCTTTCAAAGAATTCAAGGTTGTTTGGCATTTCCCACAGGTGTCCAGAGGGTCTTGAGGTACAGGGAGTCTGTGGCGTCCAACGCATGGCGCCCATGGGGTGTAGGGTCCTAGGGATTCTCATGGGCCGTGGAGGCCTTTCGATCCCAGGGAGCTCAAGGCGCCCATCAGGAAGTGCAGGGGATCTGGGAGCTACGGGGCCGAGGGGGCCCAGGGAATCCAGGGCGCTCGAGGGAGCCTAGAGGTTGCCAATTGCGGCCAGGCCCTAGCAACTGATGGCGCGAAACGGCGAAAACGTTGAACACAGTGATAAAACGAAACTATGGGGATCCATGGCGTTGGCCACTTGGGCCCCACTTGGGCCCCTCCTGAGACGCCTCTTTGGGCTTTATGAGGGCGTCTGGAAGGCTGGTTTAAGTCGATCTTGGGCTTCTTGAAGCGTTCGCCTTGAGTGCCACCTGGGCCACGATGGGCTCTTCTTGGGGCCCCTTAGGCACCGGATCAGTCACTCGACAACGTTCCCCGGGGCGTCAGGAGAGCGCGCCACGCCCAAGAAGATCCGACAATTTCGGGTTGGGGCTCCTTCAGGAATTTCACGGATTGGAGACCAGGGCGCAGCGGATTCAGCAAGATACCTGAGGACGCTCCATTTCGTGCCCTGCGGCACGGTGACGGATTGTTCCACGCGCGTCGTTATTGAGGTTGGTATGTGGGCCCGAAGGACTTTGACTTCGCTGGCGGCAGATCCCCGTTGGCCTGCTTTTTTGAAACCAGAAAAATAAGAGACTTCTGCCAATGCGGCCGGGCCCATATGGTTCGAATTTAGTTTGCAAAGCCGGAGGAGTACGAGGAGGGAGAGTAGGAGGAGATACGATGAAGGGGAGGAGGAGGGGGAGGAGTTTGCGCGCAGTGCGCAGGGAAGGCAGGAGTTCAAGCGAGCAAATGTTTCCTGGATGCGCTTCCTCCCCCCTCTTGCTCATCATACTCCTCCTCCTCCTCCTCCTTCTCCTCCTCCTTCTTCTTCTTCTCTTTCCTTGTCCTCGCACGCCAACTTGCTCATGATCCGCCTGGCCCGCCCTCGACGCCCCCGAGACCGCCTCCAGCATTATACTCCGAACAACAACATGCTGGGATGTTTTGTGCCGCAGCCCCGGGCGCACTCAATTCCATGTTGAACGATCTTGGCATTGAGCCGGTTCCGATCGTTTTTTGTTGTCGGGCTTTGTTGGGCGATATTTATTTGATGTTATTCGGCGGCTATTTTGAAGTTCTTAAGACGCGAAGATATGTTGGGGATTATTTGCAGATTTGTGGAGGTTCTGCAGACGCGAAATTTTGTTGGAAATTCCGCCTGAGATTTGTTAGGCCTTATGTGGAGATTTGAGATTCTGGAGAAGTCGCCAGAGCGATCGGGTTCCTCATATTGACCCAGTCCAATCCTGGAGAAAGGCCCCAGGTCCTAGCACCCGTTTTCATCGGGATGGGTTGTTGTCGTACAAAATCTCGGGCGTGCCAGTCCCACACTCGGGAGTTGGCTACCTCCTTCCGTCCGCCTGCGGCTCGGGTTCGCGCGCCAGAGCGAACCGCGACCCGACGGCGCACGCGCGTGGTGGCGCGGTCCTCCTGGGAACGCTCCGTTGGAAGGCGATCGGGGGGTTTGTGGGCGGGGCGCCAACCTATGTGGCGACGTCCCAGGGGTGCGATGTCGCACGTTTGTCTTTCGTTTGCTACGGATATTTCGACCCACGGGCCAGCCTTTCGTCCTAGATCGTTATTTGGCGGTTCCGGGCCGCGAAGAAGGTCTCTGGAGGCCGACAGCTGTGAACAAACCGCGTCTTGGTTTGCGCATGATGACGGGGGTGTGGGAAGTGTCAGTGGTGCTCACGGATGTTCGACAGCTGGCTCCAGGGTTAAGAACAACATTCGTTTTAGCGGGGGCCGTCATGTTCTTCGCGCTTGGACTCCCACCAAGGAGTGTCCTTCGTTTGGGGTGTGCCCATGCGGCTCGGACCGTCGGCGAAGGGGCTCACTCTCTTGAGCCCCGTGCTCGTGGCCACGTCTGAATTGTACTGATGCCGCCCCGCCCCCCCCCCGCCCCAGCGGAGGACGACCCAGCCCAGGCCTTGGCCATGTGCGCCTTGGAGTTCGCGCTGCTCCAGTGTCGCAAGAGGAGCGCACGTAGGCATCGTTGGCGTCCTCGTCCACGTCCTCCTTGTCTTCCACGGGTTCTTCCTACTGCGTCGTTCTCGTCCTCCTCATCTTCGTCGTCCTCGTCGTCGTCATCATCCTCGGCCTTCGTCGTCGTGCTCTTCGTGCTTCTCAACGTCTTCGTCGTCGTCCTCGTCGTCCTTGGTGTTGGCGTCCTCCTTGTCGTCGTCATCGTCGTCAGCGGCTTTGGCGTCCTCCGAGTCGTGGCTTCCGGCAGCGGCTCGGACGGGTTAGCTTGCCCCGTTTTGTGCTGGAGCCGGTTTTGGGGGTTGGAGGGCTTCAGGGGGCTCAGGGAGCGCCCCGTAGGGCCCCCGGAGGTCCCCAAGCCCGTCCAAGAGGCCCCAAGATTTGCGGGGCTTGTCGTGCAGGCTTTGCGGCACAAGCAGCGCCCGCCGAGAACCCCAGCACTAGTCAACCGATCTTGTAAAAACGACAACTTTTCAGAAGTCCACCCTCTCGAGCGTGAAGATCCCGTGACAATGTGGGGCAGCACGCCGCTGGTCATCATCACCCAAACCATCCTAATCCCTATTGGTCCAGGGTGAAGTGGCTCTCCCAGCCCCCCCGCTTGGTGAGGATGTATCGACGCGAAGTCCGGAGGAAACGGCACACATCCACACGTAGGAGGGGAGGCGTACTTACCCAGAAATGCTCGCCAGGAGAGATGAGATTGCTTGCATCACCCGACGAAGAAGATTGGAGCACTTTTTGGCGTCGCGGCCCCGCGCGCGGCGACGGTGCTTCGAAAGTCGAGCGAAAGCAGCCTAGCACGCGCATCTACGCCGGGCTGAGCTCGCCCAGACCACGTAGGGTCTCGCAGCCGACAGCAGCCATAAAATAGACGGGAGGTCTGCTCCGAATTTTCGGCATCGGGGTGGAGGGGGGAGGAGGAGGAGGAGGAGGAGGAGGAGGAGGAGGAGGAGGAGGAGGAGGAGGAGGAGGAGGAGGAGGAGGAGGAGGAGAAGGAGAAGGAGGAGGTCGGCGTGGATTTCTCGGAACGGCTGGGGCCTCCGCCCCTGGTGCGCTGCGCGCGCCAGGGAGGGTGGGTCGCCCAGCTCTCCGCCGAGAGATCCTTCCGGACCTCCGAGAGCTTGTTTGCTTCTGCTTAGGGGCCTCGGGCGTGGGGACGAGCACGGACCCGTGGGCGGAGAGGAAGCGGCGAGCGCGCTGTTGGGGGGCGGGGCTGGGAGGCGACAGGGCGCGAAACGCCTTGGCCCTGGGCTCCTAGCCGTCTGGGCTCAAGCATTGGGCCTGGGCTGCGCCTCTGACCTTTCTTGCGTGCGCCTGCCAAGTAGTTCTGGTAGCCGGAGCAAAGCGATCAGGCCTTGACATCGCACTGCAAAAACGGGGGGGGGGAGGGCCCCCCCAAACGTCAGTGTCCAGGAGAGCTATCGAGGACGAGGACTTCGACCTCGCGCAGCAGGCGGGGGGAGGGCCGGGTGCGGCGTCCCGCTCCCTTGGCGGAAGGAGCGAGGCGATGTTGACATGGATGATGATGATGATGATGATGATGATGATGATGATGATGATGATGATGATGATGATGATGATGATGATGATGATGATGATGATGATGATGATGATGCTGATGCTGCTGATGATGATGATGATGATGATGATGTTGATGCTGATGATGATGATGCTGATGCTGATGACGATGATGATGATGATGATGTTGTTGATGCTGATGGTGATGATGATGATGGAGGCGACGGTGATGATGATGGTGATGATGATGGTGATGACGTTGCTTTTGATGGTGCAGAATGTTTTGATGATGTTGATGATGAACATGCTGATGGTGCTGATGATGGGGAAGAAGATGCAGATGATTATGTCGATGAGGATAACGGTGTCGATCATGATGAAGATGAATATTATGATAGTGTTGTCGATGATGAGGAGGAGGATGTTGATGATGATGATGACGATGATGCTAATGCTGATGCTAAAATGGTGATGGTGATGGTGCTGCTGCTGTTGATGATGATGGTGGTGTTGGTGTTGGTTGGGGGGGTGAAGACGACGATGATGCTGATGCTGATGCTGGTGATGATGATGATGATGATGATGATGATGATGATGATGATGAGGATGATGATGCCGATGGCGATGGTGATCGTGATGGTGTGTGTGATGGTGGTGTGATCGTGATGATGATGATCATGATGGTGATGGTGATGATGATGAGAATTCGAATGAGGAGGATGAGGAGGAGGAGGAGGAAGAGGACGAGGTGGCGGATGATGAGGATGAGGATCAGGTTGAGGATGGTGATGTCGAGGATGATGAATGATTGCGGTGGTGGCGGTGGTGATGATGAAGATGATGAGGACGAGGACGTTGTCATTGCGGGAAGGGCCACGTTGGAGGACAACCGTCGGGCAGTCTTTAGCCATGCCAAAGCACCGTTCCTGGGACTTCAACACCGCAGATCTGCGTGATTGTCGCGCCCTGACACTCTTAATCCGTTACAGCAATCCCTTTGTGGGACGTCAACCAGAATAATATATGACGGCGCTCAAGCGAGCGCCACACTTCAAAAACGAATCGCCCTCCATCTGGGAAGCTCAGTGCAAACGTGCACGTGAGACGAATGTGCGCGGCGCTCAGGCCAGGGCCACATCTTGAAAACGAGCCGCTTTCCATTCGCGAAACGCTTGCGAACTTTTGCCACGAATGCGCGCGGCCCTAAGGCGAGAGTCGCATTTTGAAAACCACGCTTCCTTCATTCCTGTCGTTGCTGCAAACTTCAAGTTTCAGGGCCATGAGTGGCGAAGAAGTCTCATGCGACCTGCCCAGGCCCGCCCTGTCGACCCGCTTCGGGCTGCAACAGGGAAGAGTTGTTCGTAAGGAGCAGTGGTAGAGCGAGGAGGATGCGGGACCAGGAGGAGGAGCGAGGATTAGGAGACCCGGGGGGGAAGAACGAGGAGGAAGATGAGGCGGCGGCGGAGTAGGAGGAGGAGGTTCGAGAAGCGAGGGGGAGGAGGAGGACGAGCAGGAGGAGAAGGAGGAGCGAGGAGCGAGGAGGAGGCGGAGGAGGAGGAGAAGAAAGAGAAAGAAAAGGAGAAGGAGGCGGAGGAGGAGGAGGAGGGCGAGGAGGAGGAGGAGGAAGAGGAGGAGGAACGAGGAACGAGGAGGAGGGCCCAGGAGGAGCGAGGAACGGAGGCAGAGGAGACGCCAGGGAGGCGGAGGAGGAGGAGGAGCGAGGAGGAGGCGAAGGAGGCTGAACATGAGGAGGCGGATCAGGAGCAGGAGGAGGAGGAGGAGGAGGAGGAGCAGGAGGAGTGGGAGGAGAGAGGAGTGAGGAGGAGGAGGAGGAGGAGGAGGAGGAGGAGGAGGAGGAGGAGGAGGAGGAGGAGGGAGGAAGCGGGGGGGGAGGAGGAGGAGGAGGAGGAGGAGCAGGAGGAGGAGGAGGAGGAGGAGGAGGAGGAGGAGGAGGAGGAGGAGGCGGATGTGGCGGACGAGGGGGAAGATGGGAAGATGGTGAGGGAAGAAAAGGCCGCCCAGCCTGCCGAGGCCAAGGCCTGCGGGGCAGACGTGGCGGCCCGGGCCGCGGCGGCACGGGCTCGGTGCCCGGGCGCACCCGCACCAGCAGGCGCGGCAGGAGGGAGGGGTGAGGGGAGGGCAGAAGGAGGGGGGGCCAAGGGCGGGAGGGGGGAAGGGAGGCGGGCAGGGGGGGCCAAGGGCGGGGGAGGCGGGGGGCAAGGAGGGAGGGGGGGGGCCAAGGGGGGTCCAAGAGGCGGGATCTGGCGTCGGCGCTGCATAGTTTCATAGAGGCGGAGCGCCACGGGGCCAGTCCTCCAAGAGACTGTGTCCGGTAGGTTGGGTTTTCGTGGCTAGGATTCCAGAGCCATAACCTCGACGTTTGCGGGTTCCCCTTGGTGACGAGGGCGGGGACACACGGAAAGCGGAGGGAGTGGGAAGGGGGGGCGAACAGGGGTGCGGGGAGGGAGGAGGGAGGGGGGAGGGGGGGAGAGGAGGCCAAGAGGGGGGTGATGAGTAGGGGGGGGCATATCATGGCCGTGGCCATGATGTCTTCCCAGATGTCATGGCCCCTTTTCTGATCTCAACCCGGATAGTTATCTCCCCTCAGGGAGGGGTGGGGGATCGGATCGACCTGGGAGGAGCACAGCCACCCAGGCCCCAACCTTCCACCCTGGGGGTAGGGGAAGGGATGAGCGAGGGAGGGGGGATGAGAGGTTACGGTCGGGAGATTGTGGTTCTCATGTCGCAGCTACGGCTCTTGCCCACCGCGCTTTTGCACGACGCGTTATCCGCGCACGAGCATCCAAGCGTCAACGTCCCGAGCCTTTGCCAGCCTCCCGCCCCGCGGGGCGGATCGACACGAGTACCCACTCGTAAATCATAGCGTGTCGCCGGGGCCGCCGCCGCGACACTGAAAGCAGCAGTTCCTGACCGTTGGGTGCAGTTCCTGGGAGATTAAATTCAGAATCGGCGCTGATGTATTCCTGGTCGAAACTAGCCTAATCTGGCTGATTCCAGCTAAATCTGGCTATATCCCGTTTCATCATGCCTGATCCGAGTCAGTGTTGGGCTCAATCCGGCCTGATCCAGCTGAACGGCTTTTTAATCGCTTTAACGAGGACCTCCCAGGAATTGCTTCCTGGGGAGGAGGAGGAGGAGAAGGAGGAGGAGGAGGAGGAGGAGGGCGAGGAGAAGAGGGCATCAAGCTGGATTGGTCGCGCAAGCCACGCATTTTGAGATGTCGACACCGCAATGTGAATAGTGGAACGAAAAACTTGTGACATGTCATGAGCAGCATGGAACCATTTGGATGCAGCCATCGCCGGTGGCTCGGTGACAGAGTAACTGCGTTCATCGAGTTAGCCAAATCGAACGTGTCAGTGGGCCTCGTCCACTCCCACCAACCGTCCCTTATCATAAGAGCCCATGGTGGCACAACCTGGCATTGGGGCGGAACCGCCCTTCCACTTAGCGAACGGAAGGTGCTCGCGCGCAGTCGCGCTTCCGACGAGTTGGCGAGGGGGAGAACACGAGGGCCGCGCACGGGCGGGAGTGGAACTTCAGAAAGTCCCTGCGCCGCGCTGTGGCGAAATCATAACTTAGCCCTCGCTCTGGTGAGCGCGGCAAAAGCAGGTCGTGCCCCGCGCCGGCACGGCAGTGGCATTTCCACACCCAAATTGCGCGGCGGCTGGGCGAGGACAGCACCGCGCCCGCTCTCGCGCTGCCCCGCTGCCGCTGCCGCTCTCGTGGGGTTCGGCGCGAACGACACCGTGCGCGGCGCCCCCGCGAAGGAAGGCGCCAATCCCTGGGCGAAAACTCTGAGCGGAGCTCTGGCGAGGGCTCCGCGTCGTTTCCTCGCGCGCAACCCCTCAACCTCCCACGACCCGGCGGGCGACAGCTACGCGGCGCGCAGAGGCGGCGAGCGCCACAGCGAGGGGAGATCTGCGCGGCTCCCAGGCGAAAGCGGCAGTTGCATCCGTTCTCGCGCAGCGACGAATTGGCGGGCGAGAGGAATGCGCCGTTCGTAGGAGGGGAGCGCGGCTCTTACAGGAGAAGTGAGCGCGGCGCCGAAGCGAGAGCGGCACTTAGCCCGTTCGCGAGCGATGTGCGCCCCGCCCCGTTCCCGCCGCACCTTTTGTAACATCGACGACGCAGCGTCCATGTGTTGGTTGTTTTGGGTTCTGCTAGTTCGGATGGGACCTCCCGGAAGTGGCGGCTATCGGTTGGCTAGGTGGCCTAGTCGGAGATTGGGCGGTGAGACCGCAAGTCGTTCAGAGCCCCCATACGTGGAAATCGGTTCCGGTTTCGGTTCGTGTCGTGCGTGACGCGCGTTCGGGCGAAGCGAAGCAGCGCGAGCGTCTGCACGGAAGCAGGCCCAGGTCTGGCAAAAATGAGTCGCGTCTCTGCCCGCCAGGGTTTGCTGGGGATTGTATCGCGGATGTCCCGCGGTTGTCCCGTCGTTGTTCGCGGTTGTCACGTGGTTGGTCCGTACTTGTTTTACAGGTGTCCTGCGGTGTCCTGTGATTGTCCCGTTGGTGCTTGATGGTTTTTCCGTGGTTGCTCTGGGGGTGTCCCGTGGTTGTCCCGTGGAGGTCCTGTTTATTGTTTATTGATGTCATTTGGTTGTTCCACGGTTGTCCAGTGGATATCGCGTGGTTGTGGCGCGGTTGTCCCGTGGTTGTCCTGTGGTTGTCCCGTGGTTGTTCCGTGGTTGTCTCGAGGGTGTCCTGTGTTTGTCCTAGGGTTGTCCCGTGGTTGTCCTGCGGTTGTCTTGTGGCTGTTCCGTGGTCGTCCCGTGGGTGTCGCGGTGTTGTGTGTCGGTTTCGTGGTTCTCCCGTGATTGTTCGTGTTTGTCACATGGTTGTCCCGCGGTTAATCCGTGGTTGTTCTGAGGGTTTCCCGTGTTTGTCCCGCGGTTGCCCAGTGGTTGTCCAGTGATTGTCTCGTGGTTGCTCCGCGGTTGTCCCGTGGTTGGCGCGCTTTTGTGCAGCCAGTGTTTCTTTGTTGTTCCGTGGTTGTTCCGTGGTTGTCCCGTGGTTGGCGCGTTGTTGCGCAGCGGTTGTTTCCGTGGTTGTCCCGTGGTTGGCCCGTTGTTATTCCGCGGTTGTCCTGCGGTTGTCCCGTGGTACGTCCCGAGCTCTTCTCAGTCTCCCGCCCCGCGACTCGCTATCAGTGAGCACGCAGGGCAAAGCGAGTCGACAGGGTCGCCGCAGCGACACGCTGAGCAAAAAATCATGACCGCATATTCAAGGCGTTCCTGGAAGGGCCTCGGCTTTTGCGCATCCTCATCTTCGGCGGAAGCCCGCGGAGAATCGGCGGAGGCTGGCATGGTTAACATGGCGCCAGGTCCGCGGGTGGAAGGTCTGTGAAAGGCGGCGGAAGTAGAGGTGAGACGACAGGAGGGGAGCCGCGTTTGGGGGGGCCTTCTTAGAAGGCAGGGGCCTTCTCAGAAGGCGTCTCGTAAGCGGGGCGGGCTTCTGAGAGGCCACCCGCCTTCTCAGAAGCCTGCCCCCTTCCATGCCGTCTCCGTCTTTCAGGTCCGTTCCCCTCGCGCACCCCCCTTACTTAGGATGGAACTCATGGGAGGTTGCATTCATCATCTGCGCGGGTACATCCCTGTTCGAAAATCGATTCCTACCTGGCACAATCCAAGGTCATTCCGCTCAATCCGTGCATCTCTATGCGAATCTTGCGCTTTACCTGGGCTCGATTGGCCTAGAGGCCCGTTATGAGCGGACAGAAATAGCCCTTCTTATCCGTTTCCGCGAAGACCTCCCACGAATTGCATCCAGACCCACGCTCAGGAGCGACCGGTGGGCGTACATGTACGTTTCGAAAGTACGCAGTGCTCGAACGCTCGCAACACGAGGCTGGCCTCGCGGACTCGGAGGCCGTATTCCTGCACGTGGTTGGGCACGTACGACTTTTGTGGGCCCCCGGCCGCGCGCGCTGGCAGGACCCCCCAAATCGCCCATCAGCGGCACCGTACGGGTACTCACTAACCAGTTTAGGGTCTCTTTCTGGCATTGCAGCGTTGCCCACGTCGGGGAGGGTGGGGTTCGCCAGGTCACTGGTCAAAGTACCCGTTAGTGGAGTCCCCGTTAGAGGGGCGTTGAGCCCATACATTTCTTGAGGGTCGCAGTGAGCCGCCCGCGGCCATCGGTCACGCGCAGAGGGGGGTAGGGTGGAGGAAAGCAGGCTTCTTAGAGGCAGCCCGGCTTCTGAGGCGGCGCGGGCCCTCTGCAGACACAGGTCCGGCGCCTTCTAAGAAGCAGCCTCCTTCCAAGACGCCTCCCCCCCCTTCCCCTGCCCCCCCCTGTTTGTGCGCCGCCGAAGCCAGCCCCCCGGGCGCCGCCGCGCGTTTCCGCGCGCGGCGAGCTTTTGGCAGGCGACGCCACCGCGGAGCTGGACGCCGTCAGGGCCGAGAAGCGCGCGGCCGTGGAGGCGGAGGAGCCGGCGCGGGCGGCCTCGGCCCTGGGTCGGCGCCCAGCCCTGGGGGGAAGTGTGCGGCGAGAGCAAACGACCGGAACCACATCGAGGGCACACCCTGGAGTGCGGGCATTGGTTATATCCTTGTCCAGTGCGTCTTGGAATTGTTGACGCTTCGCGAATCCCCACCAGCCCATCCAGAGACGATGCCCAGAGGAATAGCCTCGATCAGGGAAGTGGGCAGCACACAGAGGAAGCCATTATGAGACATCTTGGGATATCTTGAGCCATCTTGGAGGTCATTTTGGGCTCTCCCAGGCGCTCTTGGAGTCATCTTAATCAGTGCCCCCCCCAACAGGCCAATATGTGGCTAAAACCTTTGTGAATTGGCATTCTCGCCGAGGCCTCTTGGAGCATCTTGGGTGCCTCTGGGGGGTCTATTGGGTCCTCGTGGGGGTGTCCTGGGGGCCTCTTGTGGGCCTCTTGGGGCCATCTCGGGGCCATCTTGGGACCTCTTGGGGCCTCTGGGGCGCTTCTTGGGGCCATCTTGGAGGAGATCGATCACAGGAGGGGGGGTGTTCAATTAGCGTCCCCCCCCCCAAGAGGCCAAAATGGGGCCCAAACCCTAGTAAAACCAATGATTGTTGCTTCCTCGCCGAGGCCGTTTTGGACGCCCTGACACCTCGCGGCCCCCACCTCCAGGTCCAGGGGAGGGGGTAGGGGGAGGGGTAAACCCCTCCCCGAAGGGGAAGAAGGAGGGTTGGAAGAGGAAACGCTCTAAACCACCGACGCCCAGAGGGCTGGTGGGATTTCTCGGAAGGGGCGCCGCAAGGCCGAGGCGCAGTGGATGTGGATAAGCATCGAGCCTCTGGGCGCCAGATGTTCGCCCATACCCAGTGCGCCTTGGGTTTCCGGGGAAGGGAGCCCGAAACTCCAAGGAGCAGTGGATACGGACACCAGTCTGCCCCACATGGGGGATGTCCTGCGCATGGCAGCAATCCTCAGACCACAGAGGCCAGCTTCGTGCTGGTTGCGGGCGATGTCGACGTCCCAGGTAGCCAGACCGACCACAACCGCAGCCAAAACGTTCACTTGGGGGTCTGTGGGGTTCTCCCCCGAGGGGCCCTGCAGAACAAAAACCCTCGGTTGTGGTTGTGGTTCTTCCTTGCGCGCAGGTTAATTGAGAGGGGTACGCACTTTCCGGGCAGGCGGCGGGGCTTCTCAGAAGCCCCTCGCGGCGTCCGAGAAGCCGCCTGTGTCTTCGGAGGAGGCTCAGAAGACTTCGCAGAAGGCCGCATAGCACCTGAGAGGCCCCGCCACCTTTTGAGAACTGGGGCCCGCCCTCTCTCACTCCCCCTCCCGGGCTCGCCGCCAGCTGAGGCCGGCACGGTCGACAGCACGATCGGTGGGATCGTAGTGGGCCTCCTTCCCCACACCTCGCGCCGTGACGAAAATCACGACGGCGGGGTTTTCATTCGTTTCTGGTTCGGGTGGCCCTCGCCATGGGGCCCCAGGCATTGAACAAGACAGCTCAGCTGTGAGGAGCCGGTCCCGGGCATGGGTCGAGACAGGGGTCGAGAGGGAGGGAGGGACCCGGGCCCCCTTCGCTTTGGGAGCGAATCGCGGCGGGAGGTTTCTGTTCGCCGCTTTTCGGCCTCCGGGGGAGAACGACTCAGGATGAAAGACCGGGGAGGGGGGCCAGACCTCTGGGGGTCGACGTTTTGAGACAATCACGACGTCATTTGCCCGGGTATGTTTTGCCTCTTGTGTAAGAGTTGCTGGTGACTTCGCATGACCAGAGATTTCGAGTGATTCCTGGTGGGAAGGTGTTGCGTGGGAATTGCAATCGAGATGGGGGTGGGAAGACTGGCGACGGAGACCAACAGCAGTCCCTGCTCGCTTTGAGAAGGAAGCGCTGGCGGTGTCGGCGCGGGCGTTGCCCATTTGGGTCAAGAGTCGCCTGCTCAACAGCGGACGCTGTTGGTTTCGGACAACGGTTTCTGTTGGGCTTGGTACTCATTTGTTGCGCCCCCTTCTGGGAGTGAAGATGAGAAAAAGGGTCGCACTTGTTTCGCTCCCGGCGTTGCGTCTTGGCGCCACAGGAGCTCTCACGGATCGATCCTGCTCGAGAGGTGTTGTTGGGTGATGGTGTCTATCTCTCCACGTATATATATATATGGAGAGAGAGAGAGAGAGAGAGAGAGAGAGTGAGAGAGCGAGAGAGAGAGAGAGAGCGAGAGAGACTGGGGCTCTGGTGGTGTTTTGCTGCGTCGTTGCATGTGTTTCGCGATGTCGGATCTCAGTGGGAGCGGGCGGAGATCGTTATCGGCCGTTTCTGCGGCGTTCGTCTTGCAGTGTCTAGCGGGAGGGAAGGTCCCGCCCCAGGTCGGAGGCGGCCAAGGGAGGGCAATGACCCTAGGGGGGGGATGGATGGCTTCCTGGTTGGAGCCATGATAGTTCACTGGGTTTCATGGCTGCTTTTTGTTGTGTCTTCTACGTATTTTTGTTTTCCGTAATAGTATCTCTGGTATTATTGTCATCATCGTTATTCGTATTACTCTTTCAGTAATTATGTTGCTTCTCCTTATTGCTCATATTCTTACGGTTGGACTTAGCATTCGTATTCTTAGTATTGTTATGTTATGTTTCCTTCATCTTCTTCTTTCATCGCCCCCCCTGGTCCTCAATCGTCCGCGCACGTTCCTCTGTTCATGATCTGCGCCATCCCCCTCTTGGACGCCCCCCCTGTTGGGCGCCCCTTGCCCGGGGACCATGACACGCCGCAACAACAGCACCAGGACGCGCCTTTTCATTCGTGCTGCAGGTTTCCCCCCCCCCGCCTCGGAGGTTTTTGGCCCCGCCGTCTTCGTTTCTGAAGTTTTTCGTTATTTCTGGAGGCCCGCCCCCAGGAAGGCCCCCCCTCTCATTGACCAGGACCCACTTCCACACCAGCACCAGGACCCCTCATTTCTCTAGGCATCCAATGCGGGGCCAAAATAGAGGGGGTCAGAGGATCGTTCCGCATCGCCGATGCGGTTCGATGCGGAGCCCGACTGTCTCCACGCCATTGTCGCCGATGCGTCGCCGATGCATCGCTGATGCATCGCTGATGCATCGCCGATACATCCTCCCCCCTCGTGATGCAAGTTTTTTTCTCCCCCGCGTCCGCCTCTTGAACTGCAGGGGACTCTTGCACGGGCGGCGCTTCGCGCGGCGGGCGGCCTGGGCCTGCAGACGGCGAGGCGAGGAGCCCGTCGGAGCAGCGGACGTCGACAGCTCTCCTGTAACCGCTGGTGGTCTGGAGGTCAGCGGCAAGCGGGTCCCAACCCAGGCATGGTCGTGTCGTGGAAAACCACAGCGGGATGATTTTGGCCGCGTTCGGCCTCTAGGGGCCTTCGTCGGGCTCCGAGACCGTCAAAGGACGACATCGATGAAAACTGGCCTCGGGGAAAGGCTCGGGACTTCCAGGGACCCCACGTTGAAACAAACAAGACGTCGCATTTCCGAGAATCAGGTCCCGTTCAGGCCCCACGACCTCCTCGGCCTCCCTCCGCAGCCAGCTGGGCGTGCGTATGCATCCCTCTTATCCGAGAAAGGGGGCCAAGCCCCCGCTTCTTCCCCCACGTTCTCCGCCGCCTTCCGTGGCCAGTTGGGCTTACGTAGGCACCCATCTCTCCGAGGAGGGTGCCATGCCCACCTCCGCACGTCACCCGCCGCATTCCGCAGCCGACTGGGCTTAGTTACGTGCGTGGGCGCCCCCTCTACAGGCAGGGGGCAGGGGGCCGAGCGGTGGCCGAGCAGGAGGGCACGGAGAGCGCGGCCGCAGCTGCGGCCCGCGCGTGCCTGCCGCGGCCATGGCGACACCGGGGCAGCTGCAGATGTACAACAAGATGGAGGTTGGCGAGATGTTCGGGCTGGACCACCGGGCAGAGGACCCCAGGACCGGCGCGATCCACCGCGTGCACATCCCGGCTCCGCGTGAGAGTGACCTTTCGCCGGAGTGGCCTTTGGCGTGCGGCTTTTGGGGTGGGCGTGGGGGAGGCACGCATGCCGCCAGTTACGGTTGCATCGCGTGCATCGACCGGCAAGCCGCGCACCAGAGAGCACTTGCTCCGGGTCCCTCTTGCGTGTAGCCGGACATCTATCCCGACGAGAAGGTGCCCGACGCGTGCGTTTTCCATATCTGGCTCGAGGACCACACCCTGGGCAACATCCTCCGCATGGAACTGCTCAGGAACGAGGCGGTTCTCTTCGCTGGCTACAAGGTTCGGGGATTGCCGAAGGTGTCCTTTGCCGGCCTCCTGGGCACCACTCTCGAGGCCAAGAAAGGCCCTCAGGTCCATATATGGTGCGAAACGCTGGGGACCTCGGGCCAGAGATACCTTCCCCGACAAAGTGACAACATCGGCAGCAATCACGACCATCATCATCGCCTTGATAGGGGCGCCGCCCAGCAAGACAGCCTGGCCTGACGATGGCCCGGCAAAGACAAGCACCAACAACCAGACGAGCGGGCCCCAGACAGAGTCCGGGCCAGGGGCGCCGAAGACTAAGAATCGAATGTGGCCTCCTTGCGGCCCGCCACGTATGGTGATGACGTTGCGCTGTCAGTCGTGCCACGTCATCACCATGTGTGACAGCCCGCAGCTGACGCCCTCGACCGCACAGCTGAAATCCATATCCATGTGTGAAGTCCCGTTAGTGGGAGATCCAGGGCGTCGTCGCCACAATCGGACTCGCTATCAGAAGCAATGCGAACATATACGGGGCTGCTGCCGCGGATGAGCGAGTTTGAAGTCACCGCGAGGGTGGCGGAAAACCCATCGATGAAAGAGTCGATGAGGGAACAGAGAAGCCATGAAAGTCAAAGAACCTCCTGCCCGTGGCGGGAAGAAGCTCCAGTCATGAACATCCAGTCAGTGAGCACCTTCTGCTGAGACCCCTCGACGACCTGGTACGCGTGCTCCGCGAGGGCAGCACTCACGTCCAGAGCCCTGGACCCCATGCAACGGAATTTCTCCAGCGAGATCGGGACCTGAGGGCCGAATCCAGGCGAAAGTGTCTGGTGTGAAATCTACGCCGCAGCGGCACTGCAATGGGCATTGCACCATGGCGGGGTTTACATTCGCCGGGCCGCTGGCAGGATCTCAGGGTGTGGCAGCCCTCGGAAGGTGCCTCACCCGCTCAACCACATGATAGAGCTGCGGGTGCAGACGCTGCCGAAGACCACGCCAGAGGCCGCGGTGCGGCACGCCGTCGCCAACCTCAGGTCCGAGTGCAGGTCGATGCTGGACCAATTCGACAGCCAGGCTGGGCGGTGCGCGCGCGAGCGGGCGGCGCGGGCGCGGGGCCAGCCTCTCGGAAGGGCAGGGGGGCCCCCACAGCAGCGGACTGATGCATCGGCGATGCGGCTCGATGTGGAGCTCGATTTTCTCCGCGCCGACGTCGCCGATGCATCGGCGACGCATCGGCGATGCGGCGCCATCCTCCGACTCTACCGACTGAGATCCCATCTGAGAGGCCTCTGAAGACACCGACAGGACACCGACAGCGCTGCTCGCCCTGTACAGCCTCGGAATCTTGGTGATAGCGCGCCCCGTGAGAGCTCCCGGGCAGCAGCGGCATCGGCACCTACTGTGCTCCCCGTGCTGTCAGGCCGGACCGAGGCATCAGATCGAGGTCGGTTCGGGGAGGGTGCCCTGATGCTCTTCGTGTTTGTTGGATGCTCTTGTGCATCCTGGGGAAATGTGCCCTCGAATGTTCTTCCGTTTGGTTCTGCGGAGGGTCTCATGTTATTGAAGGATGTTCTTCTGTCCTAGGTCTGGCCGTAAGCCTTCTTCTCGAAAGCACCCTCACTCTCTGAGAAGCCCTCATGTCATGGAAGGATGTTCTTCTGTCCTAGGTCCGGCCGTAAGCCTTCTTCTCGAAAGCACCCCCACTCTCTGAGAAGCCCCCCCCAGCCCTCCCAGAAGGCCGCCCCCTCGCGCCACCCGCCCCGCGGTGCCGCCCACAGGTGAAGGACCTGGAGGCCCGCGCCGCCAAGGACGCCGTGCCCACAGGGGCGCTGCTGGACGAGGACCGGCTCCACACCACCGACGCGGAGCTGACTGGAGCGGAGGGGACGACCAGCGGCCCCGAGCCCGAGGCTTGGAGCCGCCTGGGGGGCTGAGGTGGCCCAGCACTGGTTTCGGGAGACTCTTCATGGGGGGGGATCCCATGGGGGGATAGGATCCCAGGGGGGGGATCCCATAGGATCCCCTGGGGATCCCATGGGGGGGGATCCCATGGGGGGATAGGATCCCAGGGGGGGGATCCCATAGGATCCCCTGGGGATCCCATGGAGAGTCTCCCGATGGTTCTGGCCAGCAGGAAGGGCGGCAGGTGCGAGGCGCTGGGTTCGGGAGGGTGTTTTGCCGTCTTCAGCCTCCAGGGGCCGTTCTCCGGCCCCGAGGCCGTCGAAACCGGGTCCGGGCTGGAACAGGGCGCCATCGATGGGCTCCGGGCGGGGTCCGGGGACCGACTGTGAGTTGATGCGGCTTCATCCCCCCGCCTGACCGATTGTCTGGGGGACCGACCCGTTCAGTCCCCCTGGCCGCCTCCAAGGCGCCGTACTCGCCGTACTCGCCGGGGGTCGACGACAGGGACCAGCGCTTCCAGGAGCAGCTTGAGGAGTTCGAGCGGCTAGCGGGGGGTCAGGACTCCGACGCGGCGAGTCTGTCGGGCCAGACGAAAGGGTAGGATAGGGAAAGGGGGGGTACGAAATCTGCTGCATGCAGATGGTTTCCGTCCTGCCGCCGGGCCCATGCTCGATAGTTGGGCGCCTCCGGGCACCAGGAGGCGCCAGGAAAACCGGCTACGTGAGCTGATTCCCGACCCTGCCCTTTGCTATCCTACCCTTTCGTCCCCCCCGAGTCTGGATATTCCCAGGCCCCCCTGGGGCCCGAAAGTGTCCATGGCCACCGTCCCTTGGGGGCCCCAGGGCATCGGTTCCCCGGGCGATGGACATCTACCCAGACACCCGACGGCATGAGGTTTTCAATTCGCTGCCACGTCCCGAACCCCTTTCTGGCGGTTTTGTCATGGATCCGTTTTTTATGGTCCACCATCCTGGCAGTGGGCCCTGGAAGCCGAAATCGAGGAAAATACACGGGGTGAAATGAACACATCGTTGGAGATCTGGGTGCGAATCAGGGGCAGTGCTAGGGGAGGAATTGGTTCAAGGTGTGATGCATCGACCCCCAATCGCCCGTTCATCGCCGATAGGGCCCCGTTAGCGTACGCCGCCCAGCAACGTGCGGATCTGCGATCGGGGGCATATCGCCGATCTATCGGCGACGTATCGCAGATTCCAGCTCGATGTTCTCAACCCTGAGATAGTCCTCTCCTAGCGTTCTCCAGCACTGAGCTCCCACCCCGTACTGTGGGGGCGTTCTTTAAGGAATGTGCCCAGAAAGCTTCAGACCCTGGAGGATGCCTTATATGATAAGGGGGCGGAGGTATACCCATGGTCAAACCTCAATCGGAGTTCCACCGGTCTCCAGACTCTGGATTCTTGATTCGATGGTTCTTTATTCTAGGCCACCCAGATGGGGTTGGAGCAAGATGGGGTCGGAGGACTGCGCAGTATCGCGATGCATTGGCGATGCGACTCGCTGCGGAGCCCGATTTTCTCCACGCCGACGGCTCCGATGCATTGCAAACGTCGCCGATGCATCGACCATGCATCCGCGATGCGGCGCGGTCTTCCAACCCCTCTGCTCGGATCCCCTCCAGGATGCCGCTATTCAACCGATGCCCTCACCGTGTCGTTCCCCTTGAACGAACTCTATTTTCCGGCTGTAGTGTCTCAAGCAGGGGTGTCTTAAGAAACACAGGACAATTGTCCCGTTATGTTGGATTCAAACTTTCCAGTGACCACGACGAGCTTGGCTAGGAACACGCCCGCGCCGCGAGGACGACGTCAGCATCAGCCCCTCCTACTCGCCCGCCACGCCGCACGGGGCCGCGCGGCAGGCGGTTGTCGCGGGCGGCGGCGCCGCGGCCGCGCCCGCGGCCGCGGGCGGCGTGCCGGCGGCGGCCGCGGGCGCCGAGGGGTCTCCGGTGGGGGGCGGCGGCGACGACATGGAGCCGTAGCCGCGCGGAGCGCCGAAGGCTGAAAAAGGACAGTCGATTGACGTGCACTTGTCCGAGGTGGGAATTTAGACACGACCACCGCCTGGGAGGGTCAGTTTTCGGAGCCTCGGCAGGCGGTGGACATGGACGTATTCGGGCCCCGGGTGGCCGAAAGATATCCATATCCACCGCCCGCTGGGTCGCCAGGACGTCGTTTCCGAGGCGGTGGATACGGATGAACCCCCGCCTCGCAACTTGCGCACGGTCGAGGTTTGGCGGACGTTCTCGTAGGTTTTCGGCGGTTTTCCAGCCTCGGGATGCCTTCAGCGGCAACGCCTCGCCGAGGGCGTTCCAGGGGTGCCCGGGTCGTCTCCAACGGCCGCCAGAGAGCCGAGTTGTGTGACCCGAAGCCCGAAGCCGTCACCCTGCCAGGTCGACGCGCGAGTGGCCTTTCATCGGTCCTCGGGAGGGCGTTGCGGCCGCAATTTCTGCGGGCGTGCACCCGCCGACGGGTTCCGGATCGCTTTCACGAAAGGGTGATTTGTTAAAGGGGGCTGTCGCCGTTTGGATCGCCGAAGGCCGACAATGCAAAATCGCCACACATCGGGCGACGAGACGTAGACATCCACCGCGCCTGGCCAGTTCGCCGAGCTCCCCTCCTCCCGACCTCTCCTATGCAGAAGGTAAGGCCAACACTGGGAGAGAGCCGCCTGGAGCTAGGGAGGACGCACCCCCCCCCCCGCCCCATCGAGGCCGAGAGCGTCCGGAGGTTGCGTCGGGGGGACCACCGCCCTGCTGTCGAAGTGCCGTGCCAATCCCCCATGCGCATACACTCTGCGGACCACCGCGGCAGCAATGTCGCTTCCCCGCGTAGGGCTGCCACCCTGCAGCCTGGGTTCGAGCGGATCACAAGTGGCCGCTGGTTGAGGAGGGGGTGACCTACAGCGGTGCTGTCTCTCGGAAGAGGAGGCTGGCCAGGTCCTGAACGCGATGCACCACAACACCGCGGCTACACATCACCCCCACGTTCGGCCACGAGGTCGGTTACCTGATTCACCCATCACCGCCCCCCAAGGTTTCCTCTGGGCCCGTCCATGCCCGACGGAGTCAGCCGTGGTGATCTTCGGGGAGATCTCAGTGCTCGGCTTCGTCCTCGCGGCCTCGAAGCTCAGCGCGTGGCGACTTTTCATCCTGAGTCAGTTTGATTGCGCCAGGGCCCGATTTCGGGGAAGAGGGAGGGAGGAGGAGGCGGCGGAGGAGGAGGGACGAGGGAGGAGGGAGCATGCGGATGGAGGGGGGAGGAGTGAGTGGGAGGAGGGATGCAGACTCCTCCATGTCCGCTCGTCCTCCTCTATTCCAGCTTCAGATATATTCAGCGCGTTTGTGTGTTTCCGTGTGCCAGGGTGCCTCACGGCTGTTGGCCCATTCAGTGCAAAGGGCTTCCCACGCAAGCAATCAGAAGGACGAGAGTATCGACGCATACAGCCACTGGATGACATGGTGCATCTCCTTTGTTCGTGCTCAGCTTCAGCAGCCCATCTACGACCATATCTTTGCGAAAACGACAGATGATGAACACACAGCACTGGTCCAGAAGATGGCTGAGGAGTTGTGTGCTGATATGTGGGCTGTGGGTGAGGGCGATAAGGGGGAGCTTGGTGGACCAGCTATTTGCGCTTGCCCTTGAGGAGCTTGCAACACGTCGAGGCTTTCTCCGAAACGACTATGAACTATGAACGCCTCGTGGTTCGCGTCCTCGCATTTACCTCACTCCCAGACGGCTGGGTCATCACGGGCCACCCGCTGGTGCCTTTCCTTGGGATCTTGCTCTTGGGCGTCAGCCGTCACACTCCTCTGGATTATGGTGCTGCCACGGATGGCTCGGGAGGAGGAGGGGGAGGAGGAGGAGGGGGAGGAGGAGGAGGGGGAGGAGGAGGAGGAGGAGGAGGAGGAGGAGGAGGAGGAGGAGGACGAGGAGGCGGAGGAGGAGGAGGAGTACCTTCTGTGGGCGTGGCTTAGCTCTCCTTCGGTCCTCGTTGGGCCTCCCTGGAGATGGGCCCCGCCGGGGGGCCCTTGCCCGCGCGGTGCCCGCGGCCCTCCCTGGCTGGCGCCAGACGGTGCCAGCGGCGGGGGGACGCGCCATCCACCGGGCGCTTAGGTTTGTCCCCAAGGATCTGCACGCACGAAATGGGTACTGAAAGAATGGGTACAATGCCCAACAGCGGATCTTGTTCATTTTGAACAGGACTCGCTGTCCACGCCGCCGCGGCCTGTGTCCATTCGAGACAGGGGGCCGCCTGCCCAACAGCGGCCGCTGTTGGTTTGGGACAACATTTGCTGTTGGGCATTGTACCCATTCTTTCGGTACCCATTTCGGGCGTCCAAAAAGGAAAACCAGGTCGGGCCTGACCACCTAGTTGCCGTGAAGGAATGCAACCTGTGACTCCAGAGGTGGCGTCTGGCCGATCTGTGCACGCTCCCACGTGGAGGGGGGAGTTCGAACTGCACAGGGGTCAGAAGCTGCGCCCCTCGTTTGCGTGGGCCCCCGCTCACCGAGAGTGGGGATATCTCTTGTCTCGGAAGGCGGTGCCATTCAGGATGACCTCGAACACCTCGTCGGGAGTACTTGTCGGAGAGCGCAGCAGCACCGAAGACGGTCACCTGCCGAGAGGCCTGCTCGGCCAGATCAAGATGTAGTTCGATGTTTCCGCTGGTGTTTCGCGTTCCATGGCCACCCCGGTCGAAGGGAGCGACCTGACCCCACCCCCTGTGGACAAGCCGCGGGTCGAGCGCAATCTGCGATGCTCGAGCACGATATCCCTTTTTTTCTGTCCCGGGGGAGGTGGTGTATGCAAGCGGCGCACTTCCTTGGCTCGGACAGAGGGTTCCTTCGCGCAGCTGCGAACGCGGAGTCGGCGGGCATGCGCGCCGACTGGCTATCGAAAGCTCCTCCTTCATATTGTTTGGCACCGGGGCTCTCCCTGCGATTTCCGAGGCGGTGCAGGATGCCATGAGGTTGGCTGAAGATGTCATGGGTCGACAGGCGGCGGCAGAGCCTCACCAAGCCGTGCTTAATACATTTTTGGAGCCCGAGCACGAAGTGAAACAGTCTCGGAGAGTGTTGTCTTGCTGGGCGTGTTCGGCCTACTGTGTCCTGCCTGACGTTTCCTCTCGAGGGGTCAACGCCAGGCGCAAGGGCAGGCCACCCCTGCTCTAAGTGATCGTAGATGTTCGAGGTGAAGTATGTATCCTGATGGCCACCCCCCGTCACTTGCCGGCATAGTGCGCTGGTCTTGCTTGACGATGAGCTTTCTGCCGATCGAGCGAACGTCGCCCCCCCCCCCCCCCCCGAGCGAGTCGGCGGGATTACCCCTCCTCTGCCACGGCGCTTGCGGACCCTGGTCGAGCTGCCAAGCTGGTCACGCCTCCTCTTCCTCCCTCTTCCCTCCTCCTGCTGCAGCTGCCGTCCCGGCCCGAGGCTTTGGGCGCATGTTCCAGGAACCTGCGAGCCTCTCGGAACTGCCGCAAGACGCGCCGACCCGCCATTCCAGCGTCTGGACGGCCGTGCCCCAGCAGGGGACGTTCCCCACCACGCGCCGCACATTCAAGCCAGCGTGGCACCGCCGCCTGCGACCACAGAGGAGGATCGCCAGAGCGTTCCTCCGCAGTGCAGCAGCCAGAGAGCTGCTCGACCAACACCACAGCGGAGGAGGACCACGCCCGAGACCGGCCAGGTCTGCGCATGCTCTTGACAGGAAGTCGAGGGACCAACTCACGCCACCACTGCCACGTCCAGCCAAGCCAGAGGAGGCCATGAAGCATCGATTATGGTTGCCAATGCCTACGTCGAAGAAGGATATCACCGCTCATCGAAACCAGTTGAAGATCAGCCTTGACGGACTTGACAAGCATATCGACAGCGCCTACCAGATAGGACAGCGATCGGCCCGCATGTCAGAGCTAGAGCAGGATTATTCGGTCACCCTGTACATAATCATGTATGCCAAGGATCCGAAGGCCCGCACGGAGCAGCAGGAAACATACGTTGACAGGATCAGGAAGCGTTTGAGTGACGCCCAGAGAGCGGAAGACCAAGCATTTGACGAGAACAAGAAAGCGGTCACCCTCACACGCGCGCTCTGCGAGAACAGGCAGAAGGCAGAGGATCTGCGATCTGCGATCTCACTTCAAGCGCCTCGAGGAGAAGGAAGCCGGAGAAAATGTTATCATGGATGACAAACATGGCCAGGAGCAAGGAATACCACCAACGCCAGCGGCAGCTCCAACATCGGCCAAGCCAGCACCCATGAGTGCCAAGCAGAGTCCTGACCAGACGGCAGCCGCGGTAGCGTGCATCGCAGCCAAGCGAGCCACCAACATCGACCTGGCAGCCCAGGGCAGCGGCCTCGCCACCCGGATGGCGAAGATACAGCAGGCCTTCGCCGCCGTCATCACCAACGCATCGCTGGCACAGCCAGCGGGACAGGGCCAGGCACCGGCACCGGCGCCAGCGTGCCAACAGGCCCACGCAGGCGCGGCTCCAGCACAGCCGGCAGCAGTGCCGGTGCCATGGCCGCCCCACCCAGCACCAGGAGATGCAGCAGCACCAGTGGAACAAGCAGAGTCGCCAGCTGAGGGGGCGGGGACAACGCCCAGACCAGGAGGCCCCAAGATCACACCCAAGAAGATTTAAATGAGGATCGCAGCGGACAAGTCAGCCAGCAAGCGCATCCCAGGCAGCGTCCTCAAGGTCGCCTGCGACAAGGGCAGCGCCCCTTCATGCTGCCCTCGGCCGCTTCGGTGCACCACGCTTGCCACGACTCCTTTGCCCTGGGCCGATCCTCGATGAACCCGATGCGAGTGCACTCCGATACAAAATCCAGGCAATCGTCCAGGAACCCAAGCTGAATGTTATAATTATCGGTGCTCCGAAGGGTCCTGGAAGCAGCAGAACAGAAACGATGCCAAACATCGCCTCCAGCTCGCCAGTGACACCGAAAAGGCACACCTCTGACAGGGGGCTCTTGCCACTGGTCCAAGAGGTTGCTGAAGTATTTGTCTTGCATGCTTTTGCTGATGATGGTGTGGAGCTCCTTGAGCTTAACGAATACCCAGCGGAGGGGCCTGCCAGGGAACGCGTTTGTGTACTGCTTGGTAGCAAGGAGCTTGCTCAGTGGGACCTTTTGGAACTCCATAGGGGACCCAGCTGGGGGACCTGGGATCCCTTTGCACATACCCACGCTGAGGATTTCCTCACAAGCCTTAAGGGAACCGCTGGCTATATATAGGCCTCGTCGAGCAGCTTCTCTCCCAAGTCCTTCTGGGCCATCGTGAGCATCAACGCCTGGCCCTCCGAGTCCTCCTGAGCCTTCGAGAAATCTCCTAGCCGTTCACTAAGATCGCTATAGTCAGGCGGAGGAACCCGAGGACCGATACCAGGAGCATGAGTTACATGCTGATAGGACCGAGGGGCTCGAACTTTATATCCTTGACCATTCTCTTCAGAGTGAGCTCGACAGGTCTGCGAGGAGTTAAAGGCGCATGCACATCCACTGCGACCGCTCCCGCAGCATGGTCCAGCACACGGCTCAGCATAGAGAAATCGATGACTGATGAGCGAGACGCAACCATGGTAGCCTCGTCGGGAGCCCTGATCACACAAGCAAGTTGCGGGGGGAGACTCTTGTTCAGACCACATGGTTGCACATTCAAGTCACCTCCGACAGTGAAAGGCAGATTGCGCTTGAAACAGTTTCTCCAGATCGAGTCAAGAGCCCTCAAGTTGAAGTGAGCGAGCCCATCGGAATCTTTCAGATAGGCAGAGTAGCAGGCAAAGACACCCACGGACGAACTTCGCAGGAAGCAACGACTTACACGTCCATCAAAAAAAGAGGCCGGTTCACCTGGTGGAATCCAAGTGTCTAGGTGCTTCCGGGCGATCACGAAAGTGCCTGCGGATGGCCTGCCTGTGTCAGTACCGATGCATTGTGTGCCGTGCGCTCTCCGTCCCCGTCTCTGTAGACGTGCAACCTGATGGCGAAAAAGAGCCCCACTAAGCCAGTGCTCCTGGGGAAAGGCAACAACTGCGGCTGTGTTCTTCACAAGCTCGGTGAAACTGGGCGTCTTGGTACTGAACTCCTCGCCCCCCATGTCCGCTTGAGCATCTCCACGCCAGCTGGACCCATTGAACGTAGCAAACTTGGGCGGTGATAGCGAAGACTCTTGCTTCGCGGGGCTCTGAGCATGACGGGGCACCTTATCATGCGAGCGCTTAGAACACTGCTTTTCGAAACTTGGTGCAGCAATCGATGGGGGCGAGGTGGGCCCTGAGACCCAAGGCGTAGACCCTCCCGTGGCCCACGAGCCCGTCGAGGTTGGAGGTCCAGTCGGGGCCACTGATCCACTGGTGGCCCCTGGAAGCTCCGCGGTAGATGACGACGACAAGGTGCACCAGGCCCAGCTCGAAATTGGCGCGCTGGTGGTCATCCTCGATGGCAAACTTCCGACCTGACCCCTGAGATACTCACCTGAATGAGGCCCTAGGTCTCCCCTAGGGCTCAGGGGGTCTGCAGCGATCGGGTCTGTCGTCGAACCTGAACCCAAAGATGACGGTGTAGCCGACGAGCTCCGCGACGGCAACGAAGTCCCTGATCATGGCAGTCCCTTGCTAAAGATCAGGCTCCTGCTCCTCGGCCTCCCTGGCGTCCTCCCAGCTCGACTGGGGGTGGTCGAAGACAGTGGTCCCTGTGGGTCGTCCTCCTGGCCCTGGGCTCCGAAAGCGAGGCTTCTTGGCGGCGTTCTGTAGGGCGTCCAGCAGTTCCCGCTTCTGCGCCGCGTCGATGCCCGACACGCACTCACAAGCCGCGGCCAAGTCCGCTTCATCAGCCTCCATGGCAGGCTGCTGTGAAGAGGACGGGGGCGGACGCGGAACACTCTTGGGAAACAAGGACTCGAACTGGCCAAGAAGAGACTCGTATTTTGCCTGCAAGCTCTCACGAACCTCAACAGCTGCGACACCTGCGATAATATTCCTGAACTCCCCCATATGCAGACCGAAGGATCCCATATTGGGGGGAACTGCAGACACGGCTTCGGCTGCAGCTTTCTTGAGTTTCTCCAGAGCAGCAGATTCATCACAGATGGCCTGGTCCACTTCAGCTTTCTGATTGACCAGCTCCTCGATCTTGGACTGGAGACCCTGGGACTGGTCGCGCAGACGAGCAATCTGCTTCTCGCACTGCTTCTGTGCCTGCTATGCTTTGAAGAGGACCTTCGACGGGGGTACATGTTGCTGACGGGATTGGCGGGCCTCTTCATATGCGGAGGAAAGAGCTTTCCTGGCATATTCTGGCAACAGATCCTTGAGACGACCATTGGTAGCCATCTGTGCGATACGGTGCAGTTCGTCAACAGGGTCAATGTGTTGGTGCTTGGGGCCAGTGTCTGACTGCGGACGTGTGTTCCCGCCTCCAGGAACTCCAGGCCCTCCTCCACCAACACTTCCTTGACCTGGACGATGAAAACCTCCTGCTCCTCCACGGCTTTTACCCCCTGCTCCTTGTCCTCCTTTTCCTTGGCCCTTGTCCTTCCGAACTCCAACTCCAGAGAACACCCAAGGTTCACGAACCCAGACTGGTGGAGGAGGTGAAATAAAGCCAGAGAACTGAGGAAGAGCACCCTTGGAGTGGTAGCAGAATTTGAAGTGGGCGGGGTTCTCCTTGCAGCCGCAGGACGGGCATACGACACCAATCGCCGTCTTCCCATCATGCGAGCCTTTCCCAGCCGTGCCCCGCGCACGCGACAGAGAGAAACGAGAACAGGCAACTGAGGCCTGGAAGCGTGGGCACTGGGTGGCCCTGACCAAAACGGGAACTGGCTGAACCCCTTGAGCCAAAACGGCTACGGCTCGTCCTCCTGCTCCTCCTCCTCCCCCTCCTCCTCCTCCTCCTCCTCCTCCTCCTTCCCCTCCTCCTCTCCTCTCCCACCTCCCTCTTCCTCCCCCCCTCTGCCCTCCGTCCTCCCTCCGCCCCCCCCCCCTCCCTTCTCCCTCCGCGTCGGGCCCGCCCCGCGGCCCGACTTGCCGCGGGGGGAGGACTTCGGCCGCGCGGCGGAACTCAAAAAGCGCGAGGAGGACCTGCTGCAGGTGGCCGGCGGCGGCGAGGCCCCCGCGCGCCACGCGACTTCCTCTGCGGGGGCGCGGGCCTCGGCCGTCGCCGCCGCCGCCGCCGCCGTCCGTGCGCCGCCAGGCCTCGAACTGCCAGTGCTGGATCAAGGTAAGGAGGATCGAGATCGGTTCGGGGGGGATGCCCTGAGAATGCTTTTCGTGCCCGTTGGATGTTCTTGTGCGCACTCGAATGTTCTTCCGCTTGGCCGGCGGAGGGTGTCTCGTTTTTGATGGATTTCTTCTGTCCCAAGTCCGCCCGTGCCCGTCTGGAGCGACGCAGAAGAACGGTGCCCGATTGCGCCGACATCGGCGCGCAGCCTGCCCGCGCAAAGCGGCGGGGGAATGCCCTCGCTTCCTCTGTGGCGTGCCGCGCCGGTGGCCCGCGCGAACCATCGCGCAAGATTGCCACTCCATCTCGCGCAAGATCCGCTTCTGACCGTCGCTCCCTTGCAGCCGGGGGCGTTGGCCTGGCGCGGGAGGAGGAGGAGGAGGAGGAGGCGGAGGAGGAGGAGGAGGAGGAGGAGGAGGAGGAGGAGGAGGAGGAGGAGGAGTCAGCCTCCCGAGCCGCTCGAGGCCCCCGGCCCCGCGGAGCGGAGCGGCACGCCATGCGCTTGCAGGGGGTAGCGCGTCGCTGGGGCCGGGCCGACGCCGCGACGCGCTAAGCTCGGGCCGGACGAAAGGGGGGGATAGGGAAAGGGGGGGGTTACGAAATCTGCTGCATGCAGCTGGTTTCGGCCCCGCCGCCGGGCCCATTCCTCGATACATGGGCGCCTCCCGGCGCCGGGAGGCGCCGGGAAAATCTGCTACGTAAGCTGATTCTCGAACCCCCCCATTGCTATCCCCCCCTTTCGCCCGACCCGATAAGCACCTGTTCCTGACCATCGGCTCCACGAGTGGTTTTAAGTTCGTTGGCGTAGCTGGCGGCTGCGAGGCCTACACCCACTGGCGCTCCTCGGGGTTCCTGTGTTTGGTTGTGTCTTCTAGTGTGGCTCCTCGGGGTCCCTTGGTCTTGTGTCCTCGCAGTGGCGTTTGCAAGGGCTGGGGGGTCTTGTTTCTGCCAGGCAAGGCGAAGCACAGCCAAACAATGCCAAGCATCGCAAAACAGCAACGCCAAGCAATGCCATGCAACGCTAAGCAATGCCAACCAATGCAACGCAACGCCACGCCAAGCAATGCACCCATGCAGTAGGAAACTTATCCCTGATTGGAGTCGCGCTGGTTTCATGCTTTCTCTTTGGCTTTCGACGGTTGGTGAAGGTTTTCTCGCCTCGGGATGCTTGAAGGTACCCGCGCCTCGCCGAGAGCCTTCCAGGGGTGCCCTGATCGTCTGGAACAGCCGCCAGAGGCCCGAGTCATGGTCCGAAAGCCAGACCTCCACTGCATTGGCAAATTGCTGCGGCTGGCCGTCAAGACGCAACTCAGGACGGAACGCCGACCCTGCGGGAAAGGGCCGGGGCTTCAGGGGAGTCCATCTGCATTCGATGGTCCAGCAAGTGGAACCCATCTGCGGTGGCTAGACAGCGCCACGGGTGCAGAGACCCCGAGCGTCTGACGGCTGCGCGCCGAAGGGGGGAAGCGAGAGGAGGCAGGCCTTCTCAGAAGGAGGCGGGGCTTCTCAGACGCCCTCCGGCCTCCGGAGAAACCCACTGTTGCTCCGGAGAATGCCATCGAAAGTTCCTCAGCAGGCCGGAGGCCTTCCGACCGATCATCCTCCGGACGTGTGTTGGCCCAAGTGTGTGTGTGTGTGTGTTTGCCCAACTCGGCTCCGCCGAAGGCGCGCAGCTGGTGACGGTCCTCGTTTCACCGCCTGTGTCGTACCAGTGGACGAGCTCACGTTAGCGCTTATAAGCGTTCTGAGGATCATCGATCCGAGGTCTCTGCCTTCCCCTTGGCGCGCCGCTGAGTTTGATAGGACGTTTCCCATTTGAGCTGCGCAGAAAAACGGGGTCGTTTTCGCGGACGTTGTTGCGTAAGCTGCCCGAGTAACATCGCGCGTAAGCGCCTTCGTTGTCCATGTGGTATGCCGCGCACGCGGCCCGCGTAAACCGCGGCGAAAGGTCGTGGGGGTCGATGCATCGCGCCTCCTTGAGCCTATCCCCCCGTACTCCAGATTTCGTAATAAAGGGAGGGGGGTCTCATTTCGGGGGGGGGTCTCTTCCAGGCTATCTTGGAGGGCCTGGGGGGGTCTGGGGACGATGTTTTGGAGGGTTCTCCCACGGGGGGGGTCTAACACTTCTCGTCTTGGAGGGTCCAGACCCCCTCCCTTTTATTACGAAATCTGGAGTAACTTTGCCCCTGAACCAAATGGTTTTCGGGTCATAGCTCGGCTCTCCGGCGGGCGTTCGGGACGATCTGGGCACCCCTGGAACGCCCTCGGCGAGGCGCAGCTGCTGGAAGGCATCCCGCGGCTGGAAGGTCGCTGAGAACCCACGAAAACGTCCGACAGCCTCGCACCCGATGCCCATGACGCCCACACCCGTCGAGATGGGACCGGCCGACAGGGGGCCCTGTGCAGCACGCTGGGCGGCGGCTGAAGTCGACAGCCCCCCCACGACTCCGCGCTGTCGCAGGGCGAGGGCCGCTGCTCTGCAGCACAGGGGTTTGGAAGCAATTCATGGGAGTCTTCCGCACCCTCGGATCTCCGCCCTCAGAGCGCACCAGCGTTGCTCAGCGTCTGGCAATCGAAGAGGACGCGCCATTCGCGTCCATTGGCGTAGATTTAGCGTCGATCAGCGTCGATGTGCAGGAGCCAACAGGACAGCACGGGAGGCTCCCATGAGTTGCCGCAGAGCAGTGGCTGGCTGGTCGCAGGGCGGCATGTCCTTCTCGTAAGACCCATCTCTTCTCGTCGCTCATTTCCCAGCGTCTGCCCGCCGGCAGGCTGGCGGCGCCGCCGCCGCCGGAGCCGCGCTGGCGCTGCTGGGCCAGCTGCCGCCAGAGCAGCTGCTGCAGGCCTGCAGCCCCGCTGTGGCAGCGTGCTGCGCAGGCGCCGCCCCTCCCCCAGGGGGGACGACGGCGACGACCCCGAGCTCCAGGGCCCATTTCGATCCGCCCGATCCGGATCTCGAAGAAGAACAAATCTCCATGAACATAAGCCTTTGGCGCTCCGCGCGGAGTTCTTGGATCGGCGCCTGGGCTCCCGGGAGGGGGGTCCCTTTCAGATCCAAGAACTCCGCGCGGACTGCCAACAGATTATGTTCCTATTCTTCAGGGTCCACTTCGGTCCGACCGATCCGATTCGGTATCGCGGCCCGGTCCGACGGTCCGCTGCGACCTGGTGGTTGCAAGGCGCAGTTGTGAATCCTGGCGCGGCCGATCCGATCCGATTTCGACTTCGTGCCGATGCAGCCCGATTCGACGCAGATTCCGGTTCGATCCGATTCGTCGACTCGAGGCTGACTGGCCCTGATTATGAGTACAGTCAGGACGCTGATGTGAGTACCACTCTGAGGTCAGGATGGGCTCGGGTCTGCGTGCCGTTCCTCCTTGGATCCAGGCCAGAGAAGCGATCCGAGGCCGAGGCTGGCCGCGGCCAGAACGGCCCCTCCGTTTCCCACTCAGCGTGCCTTGTGGCAGCACCGGCCGCGCGAAGGAGCCGAGGACGCGCAGGCGTGGATTGCGGCGCACGGATTCGCGACGGGTCCCGCTCTCATGCAGAATCGGCGCGCGTTGTCGCCAAATTGGGCGGCACTGGCCTCAGTTCTCGTGGGCTACCTTCACCGATCCATGGATTTGGCGCCCACGCGCGAGATCCACGGATCCGTTCGTGGGCGAGCGACCCCGCGGACATGTGGCATTTTTTCGCGGATGTCTAGCGCGCAACGCATTCGTGCGACCGCGTATTTGCTGGATCGCGCTCCGAAATGCAGACCGCGAGGGCGCGGACACGGTTCGCCGATCGTGATCCGTAGTCCATGTTAGCGTGTGCGCGGCTTCTACGGGAGTGACCTTCGATTTGCGCGTCTTTCGGGGCGCGCGGGGGGGGCAAGAACTCGAGCACGCAGGCCGCTACTGCCTTATCGCGCGCTCTGTGATCGGTGAGCCTCGCACTGGAGGTCACATCTGCACAAGGTCACTCCTGCGTACAGCCTGCCTTTGCTTTGAGCTCCACGGCCTAGGAGCTTCTCGCTCTCAGGGGGGGGGAGAGGCAGCATGCGACGAGATCAACGATGCAGTCGCCCGACCCCGCGGCGAACCCCGCAGGTCGTTGGGTGACGGGAAGGCGTCCGAGGGGGATCTGCCGAGGTGTTTCTCTGCTGTGCCGTTTCAGAGGATCTGGTGAGCGGGTTGGATGATCCATGGTTTTTCTTCCTGCTCGCCACGAGGGGAACGGGTCCTGAGGGCACCGGGTCCTTACGGCGTTTGGCCGTTCTCGGGCTCCCAGGGCCCTCCACGGGCCTGGACCCGGGACCAGGCACGATTCTCAGCATGAACAGCTGGCCCCAGGGGAAGCACCGAGGTCCAGGGCTGATTCTGTCAGTAACCGCTTCCTTCACGCAAGTTTCATCCTCCCTTCCTTCTCTTGCGAGCTTCAGTATCCCTTCATCCTTTCTCATCTTCCTTGGCTTTCCTCCCTTCCTCCCTCCTCATCCCCTCTTCTTTCCATTTACCCCGGCTGCAAGAGCCCCCGAAACAGCATACGGGACACTACGGCACTGCGCTGTGTGAACCATCCCGATCGACGCGTGCATCGAACGTAAGTAACTGGTGCAACTAACGCGAGCGGGATTGCAAACCTCTTTCTCAGTGCAAGGCTTCTGTTCTTATCTACATTATGTAGTTGTTTTGCTAGCTGCGCCGTGAGTGCATTAGTTGGTTCGGCATGGCTTTCTTGCGTGTTCGACATAGCTTACGGGCTGCCCAGGCGTCGCGGCAGCATATGGGTGCAGCCTGCAGGCCAGCGCACTCTCCCCCCCCCTATTTAGGACGCCATGACGTAAGTCTTCTGAATGCGCCGCAAAACACTCAGACGCAGCATTGTTTAGTCGCGTGCCTCGTGCGGGAGACCTCAGATGGTAAGCTTCTGCGTTTGCTTACTGCTTCCTCCCCCCTCCTCCTCCTCATCCTCCTCCTCCTCCTCGTCATCATCATCATCATCATCATCATCATCATCATCATCATCATCATCAGCAGCAGCATCATCAGCATCATCATCATCATCATCATCATCATCATCATCATCATCATCATCATCATCATCATCTCCCCCTCCTCCTCCTCCTCCTCCTCCTCCTCCTCCTCCTCCCACTCCTCCCCCTCCTCCTTCTCCTCCTCTTCCTCCTCCTCCTTCTTTCCTCCTCCTTCTTCTCCTCCCCCTCCTCCTCCTGCTCCTACACCTCCTCCTTCCCCTCCTCCCCCTCCTCCTCTTCCTCCTCCTCCTCCTCCCCTCCTCCTCCTCCTCCTCCTCCTCCTCCTCCTCCTCTCCTCCTCCTCCTCCTCCGTCTCCTCCTCCTCCTCCTCCTCCTCCTCCTCCTCCTCCTGTGACGCGGTGACACTACCTCACGCGGCAGTGCAAGCACAGCACGCGCGCGCAACGTGAGGTCTGTGGCCATCAAGTGCCAAGTCTATCTTCTCGATGAAGATGGCCACCGAAGCGGACGTAGCATGGCGAACCAGATTGACAGTATTGTCGATGACTACGAGTTTGTTCCTGGTCTGCGAGGTGATCGCCCCCTGCTTGTAGAGCATCCGGGCCGCTGGTGAG